AAAAAGAATTAGGTTTACAAATCTTGAAGAACTGAAACTTCATTTTTTTTTCAACTTTATATATCCAAGATTGGTGTCATATGAAAGATCATGAAAAGTTATGAATTATCATATATTTTTTATAAAAATTGAAATTCAAATAAAAAAGTTATAATAGTTTAAATATAATTGGGGTTATAATTTAAATGGGACTATTGCTTATTTCTTTGTGCCCAACAACCACGATTGCTTTGTCTTCTCAGTGAATAAGGCCTGAGGTATTCACTTGAGCGGAGCTACCAAGCCACTTTGGCACGCACGTATACCATGGGTTGCATCAATTTTGGGGGTGAAAACCTTAATAATAGCATTTTCACCTCAGGGTTGCAATCAGCCTTAAAGCTCTATCTTTATTCTTCGTTGCTTCACCTTCCACACTAAATATTTCCAGGGTAAAAAATTAAGTCCTGTTAATTCTATCCAGATACGAACACAATTTTAGATATACTCTAACAAATTCAAAATCTGAAACCCCTCTCTACAGATACTATGTTCACATTTCAGACCAGTTTTTGCTTTGTAATATTTTTCATATGATCTATAACAACTGCTTGATTCGGCATTTCGGCTGTATATTTTTTTGTTGTCATTTTTTCCGAACTGTATCCTTTGGTTCACATTAAACTGACTACATTTTAGTTTTAAATCAGAGGTCGGGCCGAGCCTCCACAAAAGTCTTTTTTGGCCCCTAACCCCGCCAGTGTTTTTAAATATCATCTATTTCATTATGAAATCTGTTTTTGTCCGATTTGAACTTCTAATTTCACCTATTACACTAAGAAATCTACTTTTAATCTCATTTTTAACTGCATAGGTAAAAGGATGTTTTAGAGCAAAAGATGACTAATTCAATGTTGGATGATAGAGCAGAGTTTATGGTCTTCAGGCAAATAATTTAACAGGGAATTGCGTTTGTGCTACTGTTCTAATTTTTTATTCTATTTAGGTTCATTGTTCCAATTTTGCCGTCCATACTACTACTTTCAGCTTAGAAAGATACTGGCAGACTGATGTTTTACTGTTTTTTAAGCAATATCAAATATATAACTTAAAATAAAAAATGGATATTTTTTTAATACTCAGTAACCATAGTGGTAGTTTCAGAGGAATCACTAGACCATAATAGTTTTTTCACCGTGTTGGCTTGTCATAATTTTGTCCGTGAGTTCTATTTTAGTACTGTAATATCATAAGAGTGCATTTGTGATATCTTATCTAGGTCATTAGGGCTTTTTCAATAAAAACACTTGAAGTGCTTAATTGAGAAATCAATAATATTTTTTTTTGAACCAGGACTCAATATCTTTATTAATTTAGCAAATCATTTGGCACATGGCTTACAATACAGTCCGGAATGAAATCATAACTACTACTATGATCTGAGATAGCAACATGCGCTCTTGCTAAAGCATGAACTGCACGATTCGCAGACCGCTCACAAAAAGAGATAACATAATTACTCTTTGTTTGAATAAGATAACGAATATCATCAAGGACCAAATCCATATATGCAACCCCGTCGCTCCTTTGGACTCCTCGAGCTACCACCTATGCGTCAGTTTCAATCTCCACATTATCCCATCCCTCTGCCATTGCTGCCAGGACAGCCTCTCGAAGCCCCATTGCTTCCGACTCCGCTGGAGACCACTCCGCTTGACATGAGGCCCCTCCTGCTTACATTTAATAATGTAAAACCACTTTTACTATAAGTTATCCAAATTAACTGAATATGACCACTTTAGATTAAAATAATAAGTCTACCTTTATCATTAAATAAGTGAAAGATGACTAGAAGTGAAATCAGCCTTTATCATTAAACTAGTTATTATAACGCGCGTTGCGCGATAAGAAAATGCCCAATGTATTTGCGCGATAAGAAGCCGTAGGATCATGTTTTCCACAAAGAAATAGAATGTGAGGATCTGGCCATTTCCAAATTGCCGGCCAAGATAAAGAATGAATCCTCAAAAAAACCCAGAAATAAGTACAAGAACTTATCACAATTTCTTAAACTTCCAACCCAATGTGCAAACCACATTCCCTAAACTGCATGCCTCAATCGGTTTTGATCTATAAGACTTGATCATTTTTTAATCAATTTTGTCAAGCAGAACTGATGCATGTTGATGGATAATAATACTGCAATGTTAATAGTAAATAGTTTGTGCTTCAATTTTCATTAAGGTGATATCAGTAGCACATCTGCTTACTAACCGCTACCAACAACTCAAACACTTCAAAGAACCGTACATGCATATTCACAACTCAAGTAGAGAACACAAATAGGAAAATGTAAAAGTAATTATATGATGCACAATTTGCCATTTATTTGATAAGTCTGCAATCAAAGAAAATTATACTACTTAACGGTTGATGTAATTATGTAAATTGGCCAGTACCTAAACCATAGATTCTTTCACAGAGTAATAGTTACATGGGCAAACTAAAAAGTAATGCAGCAAAAAAGCGGGTCTGAATTTCAAATGGAGATATATGCACTCTTAAGGTTCAATTGTTTTTTTTTTTTTGCAATTGTGCTACTACATACATACTGCATGCAGCCCTTGACTAAACTATTTCTTACTAGAAGTACATGAATCGGTAGAACATTTGACAATCAGAATGCAAATAGAAGTTAAATTTGTAGTCCAAGGTTTTATAATTGGAAAATTAAAGTTAAATCACTGATTTGACAGGGAAGTTGTCCAAAGAGCTGATTAATTTGTTTTTGCAATCAGTCCCACACTCTTGGTGCTTGGTGCTTCTTTTCCTCGTAAGGCATGTTATTTGCGATAGCCACATGTTATACGGAGTATCTCATACGGAGTACTAAATGGTCTACAGTGCAAAGTAACTGAAGAGGTAGAGACAATTAGATGGTCTCCTATGTGAAATTAACGGAGGAGATGAGAGAATGGTCAGATGGTCTCATTCTTTAGTTGGGAAGATAACGGAGGAGACATGGATAAATAACGGAAATAGGAGCTTAATAACAAGAAGTACAATAGCTTTTGCATCATGTACAATATCATATAACTGTAAAATTACACCAACACATTTTTCATGTCCAAAATACCCTTACCCTCATTCATGTTTATAAGATTTTAGAATTAAAGTTAAATCACTGATTTGACAGGGGAAGTTGTCCAAAGAGCTGATTAATTTGTTTTTGCAATCAGTCCCACACTCTTGGTGCTTGGTGCTTCTTTTCCTCGTAAGGCATGTTATTTGCGATAGCCACATGTTATACGGAGTATCTCATACGGAGTATTAAATGGTCTACAGTGCAAAGTAACTGAAGAGGTAGAGACAATTAGATGGTCTCCTATGTGAAATTAACGGAGGAGATGAGAGAATGGTCAGATGGTCTCATTCTTTAGTTGGGAAGATAACGGAGGAGACATGGATAAATAACGGAAATAGGAGCTTAATAACAAGAAGTACAATAGCTTTTGCATCATGTACAATATCATATAACTGTAAAATTACACCAACACATTTTTCATGTCCAAAATACCCTTACCCTCATTCATGTTTATAAGATTTTAGAATTAAAGTTAAATCACTGATTTGACAGGGGAAGTTGTCCAAAGAGCTGATTAATTTGTTTTTGCAATCAGTCCCACACTCTTGGTGCTTGGTGCTTCTTTTCCTCGTAAGGCATGTTATTTGCGATAGCCACATGTTATACGGAGTATCTCATACGGAGTATTAAATGGTCTACAGTGCAAAGTAACTGAAGAGGTAGAGACAATTAGATGGTCTCCTATGTGAAATTAACGGATGAGATGGGAGAATGGTCAGATGGTCTCATTCTTTAGTTGGGAAGATAACGGAGGAGACATGGATAAATAACGGAAATAGGAGCTTAATAACAAGAAGTACAATAGCTTTTGCATCATGTACAATATCATATAACTGTAAAATTACACCAACACATTTTTCATGTCCAAAATACCCTTACCCTCATTCATGTTTATAAGATTTTAGATGCAGTTAATTCTTTATAGAATAAATCTACAATTTTTTGTTCAATTAATCATTTGAACAATTAAAAAAATGTTAATTAGTTTGTTCACAAGTAACACAATCAACCGTTTCTAACCTCTAATCCAGGTTTTGCAATAAATTTTCTAGTAAATTTCATTCTCAATGTATCTCAATGTATGTTACTAATTACTATGCATATAATACTCTTTTTCTGTGAGAAATAATGAAAATAAATTATTAAAATGAAAAAGGATAGACAAAATCTGACTTTTGTAGCAGTGACTGACTATACCGATGTATATATATATAGTTCTATAATGAGGTCCATGTAAAGACAATTTATTTAAATGATTTGTTTAAAAATTTTACTTTTCTTAATTACATCTAAAGGTTAAAATTTTTGTAGTTGAAAGTTAATTAAATTAGTAATTCGAAAGCTAATTTAATTGTAAAAGTGAAATTTAACTTATACTACCTCTGTTCCAAAATTTTGTCAACCTTAACTTTTCAAGTCAATGATGGTAAACTTTGGCCAACAATTTTGATAAGTATAATTTTATGAGATTTGTAAATTTTATACTTTTACGAATGTATTTTTAATAAAGAAAATTTCCATATGATTTTTACGTTAAACCATTTCCTATAAAAATATCCTTGGTCAAAGTTTAGCTTGTTAGACCAAAAAATTCAAATATTGCAAAGTTGTAAGGGATGGAGGGAGTACTAATTTGTTTTATTAATTATATTAATCAAACAAAGTTAATGTTAATAAATTCAAGATTGCTATATGCATGCCATAGAAAAAGTTATTTTGTGATCATGTAGCTTTTAATGTTGGCAGTCCTTGGCATGGTACCAATTTTATTTCGTGGTTGTAGAACTTTTAACGTTGGTAAATTTAAAATATTATAAGATACGGAGTACAATATATCTTTGATATGTTAAGTTTATTTATTGATTGAATTGTATATTATCATATTCATGACTTAATTTTCGTGAAATCTATAGTGAATCAATAAAAGTTCTCCGTCTTCTTTTAAAACTCTTATTTAGATAGCATTTTTCCAACTACTCACTGTTTTTGTATTCCGGGTTTCTTGACCCATACAAGATACGTCAGATACACTCTCATGTATGTACACCAAATGTAGAGTTGAGGTGAAATGGCAATTGTAACTGCTACATCCCTGCAGTCATTCCAGAGTTTGAAGCCAGGAACAATGCCTAGATTGGCTGCGCCTAGGCATTTTGTTCCATTTCTACCTTCCTCTGGATTCAAATGTACTCGCCATTGTGGATTCAATGTGAAGTTCTGCTGCTGCTGGCATCAATGGAGGAGAGGTGATTTGATGAAGTCGAGTGCCAGAACTTGTGATGTGATTCGTACAACAGCTATAGTCAGAGAAAGAGGGGAGAAAGTCGAGGATTATTTATTATGTGATGGTGAGGATACTGGCAATTCAATTGGAAAGGAGGTAATGACTAACCATGGTCTGTTTATTCCCAGATACTTTTTGACTTATATCAATTCCTCTATTTTTAGTTTTATTTCAAGTGTAAATGTTATTATTGTTGCTTTGTTTCCAGAACTTTGAACAGACTAATCATTTATGGGCTTATTTTGCTGAACAGTGAGATTTTAATGCATACTAGCACTAGCAATGCATGATGATCATTACAAATGTAACATAAGATTACCATTATTGTTTGAATGAAGGATGAGCTCTTTGTGTGTCATCCAACGGATTAGGAAATTAGGTCTATGCAGCCTATGCTAACATGACCTTAAAATTAGATAAATAGGAGGGCTTTTCCTTTTACTTTCAAATACAGTAGTAGTTAGTTAAAGTTAACTATCTGTAACTTGAAAAAGTGGTGCTGCAAGCTTATGACTGACTCTCTAGGTTTGGCATGAATGATACATCCATATATAGTTTTATGATAAAATTCCAAATGCCATATTTTACATTTGCCATCCAGTCTGAATGAATTCACGACTTCACATATCTGGCATCATATTTATTCCAAAAGCTTTGAATATTCCCTGAAAATAAAGTATATCTTCTTGTATTTTGGGCTTCAATCTGTTACGTTTGGAGCTTCTACCAGTCCTTCCAGGATTGATTTTATATTATTTACATAAACTGATCGGGAGCAGGGAGAGCAAGGGACGCGGACGGGCTTGAGCCCACCTTCGTGGGCTGGCTGCGGGCAATTTAATTAATTTTAATTATTCCTTTTATTTTATATCCTAATTATTTTTGTTTCCTAGTATGATTTAATTAGGACATCTATTCTTATTAGAATTAGAGGTTTCCTATTTCTATTTAGTTTCCTAAAATGGTTTAATTAGGACTTCTATTAGAACTAGAGGTTTCTTATTCTATTTAGTTTCCTATTATGATTTAATTAGGATTCCTATTCTTATTAGATCTAGGGAGTTACTTATACCCCCCTTGTATGCTTCATTCTGGATCATCTTGGAATAAAATTGGAGTTTAGCCTTTTGGCTCTGGGCAACGGTATTTTTATCGTTGAATTTCTGGGCAACGGTTTACCCCGTTGATTTTTATTTTTCTGTTCACAACATAAACAATATATTGTTGCAATTGCTTTTGTGCCACCCAGTCTGAATGAATTCACGTAACTGGCATCATATTTATTCCAAAAGCTTTGAATATTTCCTGAATATAAAGTATATCTTCTTCTATTTTGGGCTTCAATCTTGTTGTAATTGCTTTTGTGCTCGCTTTGATTCCTTGTGTACTCTCTTGTTTGTGAGGAAGCCTAAGTCTTGTTTTTACTTCATTGATGGATATTTCCTGTGCAGATTCTAATAATGTCTTTTCCGATGCGCAGGGTGCTAATGCTTCACCAAAGGTGCAAGAACGAGACTTTACAGGGACTCCTTATGTCCCTGTGTATGTCATGCTACCTGTGAGTGTGATTGTGTTCCATCTCACACAGCCATCTATTTTCACCTTACTGACTGTATTCCCACTTGGAGTGGAAGCACATATACAGATATACTTCTAACCTTTCAAATTCTTGTGTTGGTACAGCTGGGTGTCATAGATATGCAATGCAGGCTTGTGGATCCTGATTCTCTGATCGAGTACCTACGGATACTGAAATCGATTAACGTTGATGGTGTTATGGTGGACTGCTGGTGGGGTATAGTTGAAGCACATGCTCCACAACTATATAATTGGAATGGCTACAGGAGACTTTTTCAAATTGTGCGCGACTTGAAGCTTAAACTACAGGCAAGTCACTAGTACCTATGAGAAGTAAAATTCTTAGCACGACTCTTTACTTTCATGTAACTGTAAGCTTATTTTAATCTTTGTTGCATTAGTTTTTCATGTTCTTATTTATGTTATTTGGCCCCATCTATATTTAATACATTATCATGGAGGTATTTATGTAGGTGGTTATGTCGTTTCATGAATGTGGTGGAAATGTAGGCGACGATGTACATATTCCCCTTCCAGAGTGGGTCGCAGAGATAGGCCAGAAAAATCCGGACATTTTTTTCACAGATAGTGAGGGAAGAAGAAATCATGAATGCCTCACTTGGGGAATTGACAAGGAGCGTGTTTTAAGAGGCCGAACTGCTGTGGAGGTACTAAATTTTCTTTTTTTAAATGTTAAGTTCTAAGCTTATTTTGGGACGCAGCACGCTAGAGAGAACTACTATGCAGTAGAGCAAATCGATGTTTAAAAAAAGATTTATATTGCTGCAATTGTTCTACGGAGTAATATTTACAGTTTGGACTTTGGAGTTGGGAACTGCAATTATGACGTTGGTTTAAATTAGTTCCCAATGTCAATCGCTCAATCCTATCCAATTTATTTCAAACTAGATAAAGAAAACCTAAGAGTTAAATTTATTTTGATTCAGCTTTCTTAAAGTTCTAATTGATCTATAGTTTTTTGAATATCAGTTGTGTTGGATTTTATTAATAGCACAGCGGTTAAATTTATTTATATGATAATGGTCGAGCAGAGAAACAAACTAAAAATGTAGCTGATAAAAAACTTGACTTGTATACAGTCTGATGTGCAACTGTTCTTCTAACTATCTGCTAAATAATACTCCGTAACTATCAATTTGTAGTCGGCATCATACCTGATATATATTAGCAATTTCTGCGCATGTATTTTTTTAAATAATTTGCTCACAAATGATGTAGGTTTACTTTGATTACATGAGAAGTTTTCGGATAGAGTTGGATGAGTTCTTTGAGGATGGAGTTATCTCTGAAATTGAAATTGGCCTGGGGCCATGTGGGGAGTTGAGATATCCTTCTTATCCAGCCAAACACGGTTGGAGATATCCTGGTATTGGTGAATTTCAGGTTAGCAATCTCTGTGTTCTATCACAAATTGTCCAACCTCTTTATATGTTATATTGTTAGGCTTAACCGCTTAAGACATTATTGTTTTGTACTCCTCCCGCTACACAAAAGTCTCCCAATTTTTAGTAGGGTACAACTTTATTTTTTTAGACAACACAAATGTTCAAGCATTTAAAAGTCATGAATGGTCACTTATACCACTAAAACTTATTTCGAAAATTGTTTGGATTAGTTGAGTAAAATCGCTTGTCTTTGTAAGAATTTTACTTGAAAATAAAGTTGGCTCTTAAAACATTTTTTGCTACAAAAAAAATTATTGCTACAGGATTCTTTTGGAACAGAAAAGGAGTAGTTTTTCTATCACATACTGTGCCATGATAAGTACCTGATAAAGAACCCGTAAAGAGTTGCGGATGTTAGGGTCACTCATTTTGGAGCAATGGTCCTGATAATATTGGCTCAAACAAATCCTCCCAACTTGAAAACTTGGTTCTTCAGAGTAGTAATTTACTAAAACTGGTTGACTTTACAAGAACTTTACATGAAAGTGAAAGTTGACTTTTGAAACCGGACTTGTTTGGGACAAAAGCTCTTGAAGCGGGATTTTTTTGGACGAAGGGGGTAATTGTTTCTGTCACATACAGTGCTATGATAAGTACCTGATGAAGAGCTTGAAAAGAGCTGCAGATGTCAGGGGTCACTCGTTTTGGGGTAAGGGTCCTGAAAATGCAGGTTCATACAACTCCACCCCACATGAAACTGGGTTCTTTCGTGATGGAGGTGAATATGATAGTTACTACGGCAGATTCTTTCTAAAATGGTACAGTCAAGTTTTGATTGACCATGCTGATCGTGTACTTTCCCTGGCAAATTTGGCCTTCGAGGACACTTCTATTGCTGCAAAGGTAAACTTTGTACCTTGAAGATTATATCTTAGATTTCTGCCAGACTTTTAGTTGTGATTTGACAAACTAGTTAGGGTTAATCATGTGATTTGTGAGCAGCTTTCAGGTATTCATTGGTGGTACAAAACAGCTAGCCATTCAGCTGAGTTGACTGCTGGGTTTTACAACTCGTGCAATCGTGATGGGTATGCTCCTATCGCATCAATGTTAAAGAAGCATGATACTGCTTTAAATTTTACGTGTGTTGAGTTGCGCACAATAAACCAGAACGAAGACTTTCCTGAAGCATTAGCTGATCCTGAGGGGTTAGTTTGGCAGGTAACTTTTTGAAAGCGCACTAATCTGAAATTTTTGATTTTCGTTTGTTTCTCATATACTTTGGTTGAGATATTTTATCTATTTGTGCTAATAATTTCTTCTCTTCAAATTATATTCAAGTTGCAATCTCTTTTATTAGTGGGAGGGGTAAAAGACAACTTTCATTTATCAACCAACTTAACTAAACTAGATTAGAATCTTGCAGACATGCTTTGAAACACATAAGAGACAAAAACAATTAAACACCTATGAACAACTAAAGCTAAACACCTCCGAATCTTCTATGATAAGACATACGATCGCCTACACTATCAAGAACTTAAGTTATAGGTGTTATAACTTGTGGAGTATTTTTCAGGTGTTAAATAGTGCATGGGATGTAAACATACCAGTTGCGAGTGAGAATGCACTTCCTTCTTATGATAGAGAAGGCTACAACAAAATTCTGGAAAATGCAAAGCCATGGAATGATCCAGACGGAAGACACTTATCAGCTTTCACATACCTCAGGCTAAGTCATGTTCTCATGGAGAATGACAATTTCCTTGAGTTTGAGCGGTTTTTAAAGAGAATGCATGGTTAAGAAAATAAATCCTTCCATCACTTTCAGTATTTCCTTCACTACAATAATTATCTTTCCTAAATTTTATTATTGTTGTGATGCAGGGAAACCATTGTCCAATTAGAAATCGTTATCAGCTTGAAGACATTAGAGCGCACCTTGCCTGGGAAACTGCACTGGAAATGAGCAGGCATTTGGGTTAACAGTCATTTGAGATAAAAGATATGCAACCATTGTGAGAGTTCCACTAAATATGAAGTGAGCATTATGAAAAATAGAACTTTCATAAATTTGTGTTCGGGATTCATGCCCGGTTGATGTTATTGTGTGTACTTTTAAAGTTATGTTTTGGATTAAGGTCCCGTGGTTGTAGTTTTGTTTGTTGTTCGTTGTCCAACTAAATCTGAGAGCAATGCTGAAGGTTTGAATCTGAGTGGCATTGCAAACTCAAATATGAGAACTGCAGAGAAACTTCTGGCTCCCTCAGAAAGGCCGACGTTAATAATGAAGCCTTGTGAAGGTATGGGGCCCCTCCTCATTAGGAAGTCTATCCCTGAAACAGTGCGCTGTAATGCCATGTGTTAACGGGATGTATATAGTTGGTGGGTCCACCTTTGGCTAGAATATTAGTCGAAGGTGTACTATGGCAGGAGGGCAAAAGAGTTGTTCCAATCTGCAAACCCTAAATCTCAATAAGCTGTGTTTTTTTCTGTTTTCTTCCTCATGTAAGAATGTAGGATGATGTGAACTTGTGAACGATCAATTTGGTGAGTGAAAAGACTAATGGCTGATACTCCATGTATTATTTGTTTGGTTTTGTTTCCACCTATCAACAAGGTTGTTAAAATGGTGAGTGAAATCATAAAATCGAATCGTGCGATTTTACAATTCAATATCATATACCGTAACTGATTTGATTCGTACAAGAAATAGGATATTTCATTTGACTTTACTATTTTAACAACCCATGTTTACCTCCAGCCTAACACGGCTCATAACCCATGTTTAAGGGCTCATTCAGTATTGTAATTTGTAAACATTAAATTTTTGCACGAGGAATAATTGTTTCCAAATTTAGGGAATCAATCACTTTGTATATACAATAGGTTATATTGTTTGACAAGATGTGTAATTTTTTTTTACGTTGCACGCAAACTTGTTGTAATGTTTTATAAATACATGCAAAAAAATTCTGCCATCATATATTTATTTTTTTAGTAATATTTTAAATTACGCTACAACATTAAATAAGCAAGTCAAACAATCCTAAGAGTAGTTACCTGTCTTATGACTAAATACTCGAAATAGTTACATGTCTTATATCTTCAATGCATGAGGTTATATAGCGCAAGGGGGAGTGGACTCATCCTGGTTGGGTGCTGACGCCTGACAGGGGCATAGAGCTAGGGGTGGCCAACCCTGGTCCCGAGTCCCGACCCAATCCAAATTTAAAAAATGTGTATATTTTTAATGTAAAAAATTTCATATAAACTTTTTTACAAAAATATTCTTTGTACCGGTTCAGTTCGGTCCAGTGTAGGGGTGGACCCGGTTCGGGCCGCCCGGCCCGGGACCGGTCCGGCCCGTCACTGTGCGGGCCCGGAACCGGCCCGGTTCTCGGGTCCGGGTCCGGTTCGGGCACCGAACCGGTTGGGTTAGCGGGTCCGGGCTCGGGTCATGTTTTTGGAGGCCCGGCCGGGTCGGGCCCGGGCCCGGGCCTAACGGTCAGATTTTAAAAAAAAAAATTCTTTTTAATTTGAAAAAACCCTTTTGGCTCAACCCCCACTTCCCAAACGGCTATATAGCCGTTGGAGGGGTACCAGGGGGGGTCCGGGGTGTTTGGGGGTGGGGTGCGGTGGGGGGTGGGGGTGGGGGGGGGTGGGGGTTAAAAAAAACCTATAAATACTCCTAATTTTAAACATTTTTTCACACCTCTTCTCCAACTCTTCCTAAATCCTACTCTCAACTCATCTCCAATTCTCCATATTCATCTTCTCAAATTCTCTTATTCTCCTTTATATTTTATTTTACTATTTAATATTTATACAATTATTATATCTATTTATATATTAATTATCTACTTATAAATACATATACTATATTACATATATTTCTTATCTACTTAATCTCTACTTATATTTCTTAATACATACATACATACTACATCTACTTAATATATACTTTATATAATAAAGTATTAAATATACTTTATAAACTATTACTATATACTTAATACATAATTGTTGGGTAAATGGCCCCGAGCAGGGGTCCGACCCAATTACCCCCAAACCGACGTACGTCGCCCGGCCCACGGATGGCCCTGGCCTGAAGGAATGGGGACGAATATCTGTCTCCGGGATAACAGCACAAGGTCCCGGCCGAGGGTCGGTTAGCACATCCATGACGAACGTCGTCAGCCGAGGCCCATCTCCGTAGATGGCCCAGGCCCAAAAGATTGTTATGTTCTCAGGAAGGGCCGTAGACGAACGGCCCCTGGTTCTACCAGACGATCGTGGTCAGGAATTAGGCGGGGAACCCAGATTCTGGCGGGAAGCGCATTTATTGCTGGAGATTTGGTGGTTGGGCCACAGCCACTAACAATCCTCCACATCATCAGGACTAACTGCCCATTGGCGGGTATAAATAGTAGAATTTATTTCATTGTAAAGGGTTGGCAACTTTCTATTCTTAGCATTCTAGCTATTGTATTCTTACCCGCAGCATCTCTACTGCCTCGTAAGACGAACGGCCGACGTGCCCTCTTTAGCAAGTAGATTGTACTTAGGGGAGTTATTACGAAGTTAATAATACCTATTTACATTGCCTGCTATTACTTTTGTTTCCTGATCCATCTGATAGTTGTTGGGCTAGATATTCTTAAACTTACTCCACTCGAAATCTTTGGGCTTACGTGTTGGGTCCAAGGGTTGAAGGAATAAACCTCAACACTGGCGCCGTCTGTGGGAAACTGAGCAAAAAGTTTCCAGAAACTCTCCCAAACAGCTACTAAGTCTACCTACAGCAAACACGATGTCAGGAAGCAACAACCAGCGTGATCTCTCCGAGCGTCTGGAATCAAGCCGCCGGAATCGCGGCCAGAACTCGGAACTATCCGCAACAATATGGACCTCCGGGGGAAACGGGGGTATCACTGACCTCATTCCTCTGGAGGCCAGGCAGGATCCCCGCCTCATGCGGGAACTCGCAGACACCATGCGTCGCTTGGCAGACGAGCGGGAGGCCCGAGACCAGGTGTACTCTGCAAGCACCCAGCGAACGCCCCTCTCTCCCATACGCCGCATGCAGTCGTATGACGATACGACAGGATCCAGCGACCACCGGCCCTCAGTCCACGAGCGGCTAGGTGGGGGTTCAGGCTCCCGTGAAACGGGAGGGCGAACCAGAGTCAGCATCGCTGCATCCAGGGCTCACACACCATCGGTCCCCCGCCAAATCCCGCGGGGAGACGAGACCCCGAGGATCAACACCGTTGGACGACGTTTCCAACGACGAGGTGCGCAGATCCTTAGGCGGCCGCACGATGCTGTGGCCGCTCAGCAGAATGCCGTCCCCGAAGCCGCGCCCCCTGTGTCCCCCGCAAGGGCCGCACAGGACGCAAGGCTGGAAGCAATGGAACGGCAGATAGCCGAGATGAATAGACGGACGGACGTCGGCTCAGCCACACCCTCCTTCTCCCTCACATCACCCTTTACTCCACGGGTGATGAGCGTCGAGATTCCCCGGGACTGCAGGCCCCCGGGCAACTTGGTGTATAATGGGGCTGGCGATCCTAAGGCCCATCTGATCAGTTATCAAGGAAATCTGTCCATGCTGGGGGCATCGGACGAGGCCATCTGTAGATTGTTCTTTAGCACCCTCAGAGGGCCGGCGCAAGAATGGTTCGGTCAGTTGAGGCCAGGCACCATCGACTCATACGAACAGCTCTCCCGGCAGTTCATGGCACAGTTTGCTGCCAGTACCACCCCCAGGAAGGATGTCACGGCTCTCGCCCACATCAAACAAGGGCGGGACGAACCGCTGGCTAGGTTCCTGGTAAGGTGGAGGGACGAGGTCCTGCAGGTCGACGATCTAGACGAACGTCTGGCCACCAACATGTTCACCAGTGCGCTGGCCACAGGGGACCTATACCGGGACCTAAGGAGGAACCCCGGCACCAGCTACACCGAGGTTCTGGCTCGGGCCCAGAAGTATGCCTCCATTGAGGAGGAGATCAGGCAGCGGGACGGGGTTCCCGCGGCCCCGCCAAGGAAGATGGCGGACAGGCTCGGACCCCGACCGGGACCCGGGCCCTCACCCTCAAACAAAAAGAAGAGGGTGGACGGGGCGATGATCCCTTGGAAGGCTCCGTCCGGAGACAGCCAGACGCGGCCGGACGACCGCTATATCCCATTGGCCTATCCGGTGAGCCAGATTTTCGAGGCCATCAAAGACAAGGGCCTCCTGACGGAACCCCAAGATATGAAGAAGCATATGGGGCTTGACCAATCGGCCTACTGTGAATACCATCAGAGGACCGGCCACCTGACGGACAATTGCAGCCAATTAAAGAAAGCGATCGACGAGCTGATCCGTCAGGGGTACTTGGGCGAGTTCACCCAGCTGCTGAACAGAAACAGTCAGCAGAAGCCGAACCCCAGGCACAAGACATGGCGCCGCGACGATCGGCGCGAGGCAGAACCTCAGGACGTGGATTATCGGAGTGCAGATAAACGTCCGGAGGGATCCCTCGGCCCGAAGGGCAAGAAGAAGAAGTTGGAGATCAAGGTGATCTTCGGGGGCGCTGAGACAGGGGATACACCCGCCGAGCGGAAAAAATTTGAGAGATCACTCTATGTGGGTTCCGTATCAGCACCCCCCACCAAGCGCAACAAAATCGAGGCAATTACCTTCGGCCCCGCCGACCTGCCGATGTCACCAGCGCCACACAGAGACGAGCTGGTGATCAGCATGGACGTGAACGATGCCATCGTCTGGCGCGTCCTTGTTGATACCGGGAGCAGTGTGAACGTCCTCTACTGGGAGGCTTTCGAAGGAATGAAGCTCAGGAAAGACATGCTGCACCCTCTGCGCACCCCGCTGTCCGGCTTCACCGGGGATTGCATTGACGCTGAGGGCACCATCGTCTTGCCGGTAGAGATCGGCGACGGCCCTCACACTGCCCGGATCGGGATGACGTTCGTCGTGGTCCGCTTAAAATGCGCCCACAACGCCATTTTGGGCCGACCCGGCTTGGAAGACTTGGGGGGCCATATGCTCCGTACGACATTCATGCATCAAATTCCCCACCGACACCGGAGTGGGGGGTGGCACGTACGGACCCACATATGGCCAGGGCCTGCTACACGAAGGTCATGGAAAAGCTCAACGAGCGGGAGGCTCGGGTCAACAGCATCTCCGAGAAGGCCAAACAGGCCGACTTGGACGCTCATCTGGAACCAGCAACTCTGCTGGAAGAAATCGAGCTCGACGACCCGACGGACAGGAGGGTGTCCATCGGTGCAGATCTAGAGCCGGAGATCAGGGCGGGGGTCATAGCTGTCCTCCGAAGATTCAGGATCTTATTTGCCAGGGGGGCAGAGGACATGCCGGGCATCGACCCCAACCTCATATGCCATAGACTCGCCGTGCGGCCGGACGCCAAACCTGTACAGCAAAAGAAAAGGTATATGGCGGCCGACCGACGCGATTTCATCAGGAAGGAGACGGCAACTCTCCTCAGCATTAAACACATCCGGCCGGTCATCCACGTGGAGTGGCTGGCCAACGTGGTACTAGCCCCGAAGGGCGACACTTGGCGGATGTGCGTCGATTACTCGGACCTAAACAAAGCTTGTCCGATGGATCCTTACCCTGTTCCG